ATTCATATTACATGTTAGTAGGTATATAGGTAAGTCTGCACGGATATACATTCACGCAAAAATTGCATATATATAAAGAGAGTACTGAAAAGTTCTCGGCCCGACCTACTTACAAAAAATCAGATTTTTTGATCACATTTTGATCGAAAGGAAAGCTTTTCAGCACCCTCTTGTACGCGCGTGCGCGCGCACACACACACACACACGCATACCCCCCCACACACAAACACACACACCCATATATATGAGATAACGATATATATTTTTATATATCAAGTACTATATTAGGGAAAAATGTATGAGAAAGTGGAAAAAAGTTTTCTCTTGACGCGTTTCGCCCTTTAGGACTTCATCGGACTAAATTTGTTATGGTCATGCGACTACACATGCGACATTAATCATCTAGATTATTTTTTTTATTACCAGCATCCCTCATTCGTGCCCCTGTGTAGTCGCAACAACAGACCAAATTTAGTGCGATGAAATCCTAATGGGCGAAATGTGTCACAAGAAAACTTTTTCCACTTCATCATACATTTTTACTCAATATTCATATATATATATATATATATATATATATATATATATAGGAATTGATGGACATTTATGTATAAGCCTTCATTATTTATTCTTAATTTATACATCATATATTAGTGATACACGTGCTTGAGCAAGCATTTTTTACCAGTATAATTTTCACGATATTTTTGACTGTTTTTAATAAAGGAAATTTTAGAATTCGAACCCGCATCACCCTTAAGTAGAAGAAAATCACCGTATGTGTGCCTTTAGACAGTTCAGCCATGAAGGACTTCACGACAAAGTAACCCTTATGAAGGAAAGCACCTGTCTCGTTAATATCTGTTGAGGCCCATATCTGCTAACTTTATTTTCGTATCCGAAACATAAAGTAAAAATAATTTCGAAGTGTATATAATAATAAAATATAATGTCGGATTATAAATAAAAATCCATTTATTCCTTAGAAAATGACTTTGCTGTTATACTAGAAAAAGACAATAACAGCTGATTATCAGATCCAGAGAATTCTTAGAAATATGTTCCACTGCCGATCATCTCGATTCTATATTTCGAACATTAGAAACTAATAGATTAGAATGAGATTACGCGAACAGCTGATGATAATTCCATTCATCGGTAATTATTAGAAAAATCTGTATCTATTATTAGTCGTGATATACACATCAACATTGTTGACTGATACTTGAGATGCTTTAATTAACAAATCACAAGTTGGTTGGTAGGTAAAATAATAGGTATGAAAAATATCCCAAATTATGGCTGACAATTATTCCTGTTAGGACATGAAAATCTGTATATGTACATTTATATCATCATATATACTAATACACACATATATATACAGACATACAAATTTGTACATATTACACATACATATATTTATATGGATACCATTCATCCATGTATTGAATATTGTTGTCATATCTGGTTGGGTATCACTGGTGTTCGTTTCCAGGTTCTCGACAAAATCCAAAGAAGGATCCTGATTTGACATCTCGACTTCAGGCATTATCTCATAGACGTGATGTAACTTTCCTTTGTCTTTTCTACAAATATTTTCATGGTAACTGTTCTGATGACCTATCTTCCCTGATGCCACGACTACATGAATTTAAGCAAGCTACAAGATTGGCATCCAGATCCCCCCTTTTAACGTTAAATGCAACGGCCACTTCTACTTCAGCAGTTTCTTTTCTCGCACTTCCCGGCAGTGAAACTCCCTTCCTCTTACTTGCTTCCCTGAAAACTACAATCTTCAAACATTTAAATGCAACGTCAATCGCCTTGATCCCCGTTCCTCTTTTATCCCTTTCTCTATCTATATGCAGTCTTTTTCCTCACTTTCACTCTCTGTAACCTCCTGCCTTGCTTGGCATGAAATGTGCCACTGGAAATTAGGAATCATACCTGGCAGCAAAATAAACTCATCCGTAATACTTATTGTTCCTCAATTTGCGAACATCTGATAAATACTAGAAATTGTGCAATGGAATTTAGTGTGGCTGTTTTAGTCAATTCACTTTTTCATTTGAAAGTACTAGAATCGGTTTAACTGCAGGTCTCGCAGAACCTCAGCTGTGTAAACAGCGACAGTGTTAGCTAGGCTGTGCTGTGATTAGTTTCTAGTAGTTCATTCCCCCCCCCATATCCATCATTGACTAATTTATATCTGATATTTATTATATTTTACTTTAAATTCTGACGATAAAAAAACTTTGATGAGCGGCAGCGAAACCGGTTGTTTTTTTTCCTTCTTCTACATTTATCCACCCATTATACCTTGTTATGTTAAACTTTTTAAAGCAATACTCAAGTTTTATACCATTAAAAATTATATATATATATATATATATATATATATATATATATATATATATATATATATATATATTTATCAAAAAGAAAAAAAAGACCACTTTAAGGCTCCATTGTAATAGTTTATTTCACCAGAGACCTATATATATATATATATATATATATATATATCATATACACGTTTAATAGTGTACAGGTCTGGCGATCACTTCGATCTGGGATTCGTTGTATATCTTCCAGCACATGTTGACTGGTATGTTGACTGGACGTGTATTATTGTGTTGAAACAGCATATTATTTTCCAGGTGCAGAAATGGCAGTAGAATAGGTTGAAATTATTCTGGAAATAGTTGGCTTTGCGCAAAGTTCTATCCACAAACATGAAAGGTGACAGAGCGAAGTAACTTATGACGTCTACACCGTAGTGGTAGTGTATGAAACTTCATATTGTCGGCAAATACACTATCAACGCCGGATGTGCAAACGACAAACTCTTATATGAAAATAGAATCTGTGATGTCACTGAATAAAAGAAAACGTCATTCCATCTTCCAACTGATCCCAGGCAAGACATTACTGTTGACACGCGCGACGGTACCAGTAGAAAACTTGCTAGATATACTTCTATCCTTAGTTTTGCTGCGAATAACCAATTCCAAACAGTTCTTGTTGACAAACATGGGCCACGTTTTTTTTCTGCGGATCTGTGCACTAAACAGCGTGCGGTTTACCATTATTACCATTAAATGTTTGATCTAGCCGTTCAGAACCAGATTTACACGTGTTGGAATGTTCATTGGAACTAAAATTGATAATTTTTTAAAAGTGTCTATTTAGACGATCAAAGGCATAAAATCCAACCAATTCCAGTTGACTTTAGGTGAACAAAATATGTACGCATGCGTATCCGTGGCAAGACATCACCAGGACATTGAAAATGATCATAGCATGCTTCTTCGAAAAAGCTCAGTTACAAACAGTGCACTGGTGTGAGTGTTGCTACGTAGCATGCTGCCTTTGAAAATCATTTATAAATCTACGACTTGCTACCATGCACATACTGTATCCAGGACAAAATCATTATCGACTTGCAATGTATTGCAATTTTATTTTTAGTCAGTGTATTTTCACAGAAACAATGATAAGCAAATTCAGTTAGCATTAGAAATAAAAAAAATCTTAATAATGGTTAAAAATAATATATATATATATATATATATATATATATATATATACGCAGAGGTGTACATATATACGCACAAATAAACGTATACACATATTTCTATTAATATATCCCTCGACTGATATATAGGTGTGTGCAGACACACACATATATATGATTTGTATATTTCTTTTCTTATGTATATAAGAATGCTCTATTTTTAATACGTTTAGGCTTCTTAATACACATAAAGATAACATGTTTTGATTATTTATCTATTAACAGTCTGTTTCGCGTTGTCAAATTAAAAAAAAAATAGGAATTTATTTCCTTTAGATGTTCCCGAGCTCTGCAGTACATCTACACACATATAGCGTAGATATAGGAATCAACAATCGATGATGACTGTTTGACGCCTCAGCCATTCCACAGCCATGGTTCACATATACGAAAGCTTTATCACCGGTATTGACCACTCTTCTTTCATTGATATAGTATTTTTTAAACAAAATGGAAATATATTTAGACAAAACATTGTCAAGCAACACTATCTACGTTACCCCTTCTATCATAATTTCCTTTAACCCTTAAGGAAGCCTTCCTCAACCGCTGGGTGCACACCCCTAAGTAAATTATTTTGGCAAATTTCCATTCTCCACCGCAACACCTACTCGTCTCCAGGGACACGAGCAAGAAAACAAACCGTAAACAATACGAAAATAATAATAATAATAATAATAATAATAATAATAATAATAATAATAATAGAAAGAAGAAACTTTACTCTTTCTTTCATCTCTTGTAAGCATCCTGTATACATACATACATACATACATACACTCACACCCACTCTCTCTCTTTCTCTTTCACACACACATATATATATATTTTGTATGCATGATATGAAATATAATATTTTTTGTATGTATGATATGAAATACAATGCCATTATCCCTAGAGATATATTTATCATTTTCAAATCTTTTCGATCATGAACAAAAGATTTTCCCTTTCTCATCTATATTTGTCCACACACACACACACACGTATATGTACTTTTACGAATCAATAAATCTGTAGTCTGATACTAAATTTAATGCATGCGCAAGGAAGAAGATTATATTAAAAATGCTTCGATCCTTTAGGCGTTGGATTTTTTGCGTGAGTTTGTTCTTATAAAAGTGAAAGAAAGTATTTGTTCTTTTAGGATTGTCGTTGCTGGGACGAGGCGAAAGAAGAAATTAAGTTGTGTACTTCTGAAATATACCAAGGCTTGAGCACCACGTGTTGATGCTCAAGGCAAATTCAACCCAACTTTAGGCATCAATTAATTAATGTAAAAAAGAAAAAGAGATTTTGAACTCAACTAAATTTTAATAAAAGAAAAGGAATATATATATATATATATATATATATATATATATATATATGTGTGTGTGTGTGTGTGTGTGTGTGTGTGAAAGAAAAATTCGTGTAGAAATTAGAAAACAGAAAAGAAATGAAAGAGAAAAAAGTAAAAGGTTGAAAATAAATTAAGACAAAAAAATGTAATAGTTAAAGAAAAAGTAAAACGTAGAAAAAGTGAGAAAGTAAAAGAAAAATAGAAGCAAACAAATATTGAAATACAGCAGAAGATACCAAAAAAGGAGATAAAACAAAAGAAAGAGAAATGTAATTGTAAAAGGGGTTGGAGAGGTGGAGAGAGAGAGAGTGGGAAAGCAGAAAAAGGAGGGGAAGAGAGAGAGAGAGAGAGAGAGAGAGAGAGAGTGGGAAAGCAGAAAAAGGAGGGGAAGAGAGAGAGCGAGAGAGAGTGGGAAAGCAGAAAAAGGAGGTGAAGAGAGAGAGAGTGAGAGAGAGCGAGAGAGAGTGGGAAAGCAGAAAAAGGAGGGGAAGAGATAGAGAGAGAGCGAGAGAGAGTGGGAAAGCAGAAAAAGGAGGTGAAGAGAGAGAGAGAGCGAGAGCGAGAGAGAGTGGGAAAGCAGAAAAAGGAGGGGAAGAGAGAGAGAGAGAGAGAGAGAGAGAGAGCGAGTGTGAAAGCAGAAAAAGAGAAAAAATGAAGTAAAAAAAAATTGTGAAGCTTTCTTGATATGACAACAACGATCGAAATGTAAGTCGGGTTTTCAAATATATAACCCGAGATTTTCACCATGGCAAAGGAAATGATGTATAATTAGTTGCCCACAAATGAAGTTTAAACAGCAGCAAGCAGCAGCAGCAAGCAGCAGCAGCAACGGAGGCGACAATGGCAGCACGGAAGCAACATTTCATATGGATCATCAATATTTTATTTATTTAGTTTTTATTCTTCATTAATTTTCTTTTCAGTCGCCCCTACTTGCCTTTGCTAAAAAAAAAAACCGTCTCACATCTAAAAACCCATGAGATGTATGTAACAATATCTGTTTACTTGTAGGGTGGTGGGACCGTAAATAGGAGACCAACATTAAAAGCTTCAGACAACAGGAGGAAATATCTTCCTTAAGCCGTAAGTACTTCCCGTCACCTTGGGATTTGTTTGGAAAAAAAACCTGCTAGTCAGTTTTTTATGGACAGTAATGAAATAATAGAAAAAGTCTGTTTAGATCTATTATTTAAGACAATTTTTCTGCAGAGAATATGCGTTGAAAACCAAATGTTTGAATAGCGGGAATTGTCAATATAAAAATTTGTTTCAGACGATGTCTTTGACTGACAACTTTGGCACAAATCATCTGTCTACGAATATTCTCATTTTACTGAGAAGTTCAAAGTTTTCATCGGCTTTTGTAGCAATTCTTTTTAATGAATTCTGTTACACAGAATAATAATAATGCGCTGCCCTTCCTAAACCAGCAGTTTAGATTTGTATATTGGTAATCAGTGTGATATGAAAAGAACACGATTATCTTTAAGATGCATGTCCTTTATCTATACATAGAAATACACCGGGAAATAATATTTATAATATTTATAGAATATTAATATTCCTAATGACTAAATCTAATATCTAAATGCATAGACATTTCAGTTAAGCTGTTGAATATTTATGAGCGTCTTTAAATTTAAAAATGTCATTTCGAAGATGCTATATGACGTAATCTAGGTTATAACACCTAAATTCTTTAGTTAACCTGATAATTATTTATGAGCATTAATAAATTTAAAAAAATTGAGTAACTGTCAAATATATACTTGCAAAATAAAAACATCACATTTGCCTTGACTGAGTCCGTCAGATAACGAAACGTTTCGGCTAAAAAAAAAACAAGCATAATTTTCCTCTTGTCTTTTCATATATATATATATATATATATATATATATATATATATATATATATATACAAGTATATAATTGGTATATACGGAATGAATTCCAATAACCAACAATTACTATTCTTAAAAGAGTGCTCAATACAAAGTAGAGCAGATATAATTATTTTTTATAAAAAAATTATAACATAAGTATGTTATAAAATCACTACAAAAATAGCCATTTTGTTTCAACACACTCTGTGTCTTATCAAGTGATGATGTTGAAAATAAAATAAATGGTTTTAAAAGTTTCAGATTAATTAATGATCCTATACTAGGGGAAAACATTGTTACAAAAGCTAGAATAACCAATCAAAAACCAAGCATTGAAAGATTGAAAAACTTGACAACGAAATCATGTTATAATAGCTATTCAGATCTTTAAAATACGTGTAATATTAAAAATAATTTATACTAACCAATAATTATAAAATTATATGATAAAATTTAATATTAAAATTAAAAACTGGCAATTTTAAAATCCAAATTTAATCACTATTAAGTTTAAAAACTACAAAATATGACCGGATATATTGTAGCGTCTTGTCGAACGTAATTTCAATGAAGAAATGAATTGAATAAACATATATATTTTTTCTTTTCTCAATAATTTTTATCTTGATGCTTTTTATACAACGTTCAGAAACAAAACAAAACAAAAAAAAACTAAAAGAAAATAAATAAGTAATAGATACTCTCAGTCATTAGAACACCTTACAAATGTTGATAGATAATGAATATTGTGTTTTACTGATATTCCAGTAGAAGAGTATATGTTCTTAAAAAATCTGCACATGCATTGTATGTGCTCTATCGGACTACTGATGTTGGATTTGAGTCCTGTCTTAGCTATCAAACAGATCGAATACAAAAACGTTACAATAATATAGATATATAAGTTCGTACTTTTCATGTAGTGCTTTTTCTTCCAAATATTCCATTATGTTTCGTTTCCTTTTTATCGAATACATATAATCAATTTTTGACAAATGTGATGTTAAAATAAGTGCAAAATGTTACACACCATTGCCTCGTTATTCGTCACATGTCCTGGTCACCTCCCACACTACAATAACAAGTACTTCACTTGCACAACCTTTGTTGCAACCTTCGTTGGGTGACCTCCAGATTTTCACTGGTTCTCTTAGTGAATCCAATCATCTTAAGCCTCTTTGCTTGTAGCGTTGAGGGCAATGTTCCATTGCTAGCGGTGATCTTTGTAATAACAGTTTCAATTGTTGAAGTTTGATTGCGCGTCTCTTTTGTTCATTGAAAGCACATTTCACCGCGCCTTTTACTTCTTATCGATTGCAAGATCATAGCCGTTAGGAATCTTCACAATAAGACGCTTATCCCTTCCATGTAAAATCCTAAACTTCAGAAAGGACTGTTTAATTATCTAGACCATACGAATTAGTTTTCTTTCAAATAACTACTTTTTAAATAATATTTATTAATAATTACTGAGTGGTGGAGATGAGTGCTAACCATACTGAAAGATTTATTTAATCAGACTAGTCTCGCAAGTCATTCCCTGAGTAAAGTTTGATGAATATCAAACAAGAAACATTCTGTAGATCTATTGTTATTAAGGTTATTTCGCAGATGATTTCCTGTTTAGTGAATTATATTCTCACTAAATATTTTTCTATAGTCTTGAAATACATAATATATATTTACAAAGAAAGAATCTAATTAACATATGTCATTTTCATAAGAAATGATGCTTTATCTTGTAATTTTAACTTTAATGACTATAATTATTTAATCTTCAAACAATAAAAATTGAATTCATACCATAAATTATTTAGAGAAAATTCTTCTAAAATATCATGAATCAATGCTTCAGTCAATGTTGAAGTCCGTAAATGTCTTTCAAATTTTCTCTTCTTTCTATATTGTTTTAAGTCAGTAAATATCAGAATTTAGTAATGTTTAGTCTCAGAATTTCTGACAGCCTAAGGTTCTATGTTCGAGCGTAACTATATGAGAAAAACAAAATTTTATACATTTCTATTCTTTATTGTCTCCTTATCCCAACGGCCACTGAATAACAAAGTTTTTTAATTATTCGATTCAATGTATCTGTCTATATTTCTGAGAGGAGGTATTATGTACACTATTTACATTATTCGGACTATTGTCCTCATTTTTGTCGCCATATTTATTACAACGTTTCGGCCGTTGTACGCTTCGGCCTTCTTCAGGTATGGTCTAGATCATAGAATGTTTTAATGGATATCAGTTGTCAGTTATCTCCTGTTAATTTCCCTCTCCAAGTCCTCCATTGCCTTAACCGGGTATTGAACTCTTTGGTTCCTGTCACTGGATCTAACTAACGCCTTTATCCACTTCTGGGTATTATAAACATAATGTCTTCAGCAACCATTTTAAACCAGTGCTCATATTGCAACTTTTGCTCAAGGAAAGGTGCCTTCCTGAGGTAACATCCATTAATCGTATATATTGTGCAAACACTAGCATTAACAAAGAAGACTCAGGCCTATATAAATATGGCGGGATCATAATCCTAAGAAACTGCAACAGAAGAAAAAATAAAAAAGTAATAAAACCAGGAAAAGATATACAAATTAAAAAAATATAGGATTGGAAGATAAATTAAGACAAACCTAGAAAGTAGATTTCTTAGATGTAGCATTCAGCTGACCAAAAGGATACATTACAAGCATTCAGAAAACCAAACGTTAAACCATTTTATTTACACAGCTCTTTCAATCATCCATTTACTATATTCAAACAATCCATCAGCTGCATCGTGAAACGAAAATATTTTCAACAAAGCCGAGTATGAAATGGTACAAAAAATAGTAATTCTTCGGCAAAATCACACCAAATAGAAAAAATACACAAGAAAAAAGAAGTATATGTTTAAACCTAACATCCAATAAAAACTAATATATCTACACTATTAATCATAACTTGTGAAATTGTTTTTCACATTCCCACAAGACTCCAATGGCCTATACACATGGAGCCCATACAAAGAATAGTAACTTAAAGCTTGGAATTGCACATCATCATGAAGTACTAATTTTTATGACCACAGTTTTTATGGAGGATCCATCCGCAATTATTCAGCAATCTCCTCACCCCTCGAACCATATCAAATTTTAAATAAATACTGACGATAATTTTACAATAAAAACAGTTTACTCACTGCCAGTTCAAATCCGTACAAAATGCCAAAATAATAATATATAGGGAGTCTGCTAGAGAGCGAGAGTAATTAAGCTGTTGCTAATATTACTGAAATTCACTTTTAATGAGCATCTCACTAATTAATCTAAGAGTAATAAAATTACAAACTGTCAATTCCTAGTGGAATTTGATAATTTATTGTTTTAGAATAAATAATTATAAAATTATTAACACTTATTTTTCAAATATAACTTGGAGCTAACAAATATTTTGGCAAATAATATGTGATGGTCGGTATAGTAATTCTGATATTTTATAGAATTACCATTCGATAAATATTACTTAATAAGTAATATATTGAAAAATGTTTAAATATACTGGATTCTCAGTATTATTTGATGTTTTTCGCAATGACTTGTTGGTAATGAATGAATAACAAGCCAAATTAATCTGTTTTTCCTTACGAAACATCGATTTTGAAAATTATTTAAACCTCCCTCATCTCCAATTATTTCTCTAATATTTTCTTACCCCACCACACAACTATTTACTCTTTGGTGCAGGTTACAAGTGTCGGATTGTTTAATTTATAAAATCAATGATAGACAGGTTTGTTTTATAATTACAACAAAACGGCAAATGATGTACCTTATAGTCCCTCTTGCATACTATAGCTTTGCGCTAATCTTAAATTCTAAAATATTGAAAAAATTCAGCAAGAAAAATACAGTATAAAAGAAAACTAGATAGAAAAACACTAAAGTATTTTTCTCTTTAGAAATAAGACGGAAACTATGTAAGAATTATTTAACGTGGAAGGGTATCTTAATTCTTGGAGTGAAATTAAGTCCCAGATAAGCGTGTAGCTGAAGTGCACAAAACATTCAACTTGAAAAATACATTTAATTAGACAATTTATTTGGAATACCGATTCTTCAAAGAACAAATTAAATAAATAAATTTAAAAAAAATGTTTTTCAATATACCATTTCGTTACTATTTGTATTTAAATAATCCAAAATGTATTTTTAAAGATATATACTCAGAAACGTTAAATTCTACTATAATAATGTATACGTTTTGATGAAGCATTGTTAATTATTAAAGCTATGACTGATCATCTTAATTTCAATTACGTTTTATCATAAATATTCCGTTAACCCGCGCTATCAGTTTGCTAATAACGAGAGTGGTAAAAAGGTGAAGATTGCGACAAATCGAAAATAAGTAATAACGTATTCTTATGATTCTATAAGCAATCGATTGATTTATATATGTATTCACAAATGAATGTAGAGAGAAAAATGAGATGAAGATTGAGAAGAAGAGAGGAGGGAGAATCAAAACAAAATAGACAGAGAGCGATAAAACATTTACTATCAAACTTGAAACATTGCGCCATTCTCCAAGGTTTATTGTTATTGAGTTCTTCCCGCATTAGAAGCTCTACAATTGTAAACGAGTAGGACACTCGACTGTGTATTAAAAATAATTATAAACATACAATATAAGCAGAAATTTTCTCCCTTTTACGACAGAGTGCTGAGAAGTTCGTAACTAGGTGTCTTTCACAAAATCTGACAATATTTCTTTTGGAAAAAGGCTTCTTGCTTGGACCGAAAACCTTTCAGAACTCCTCCAAATATCTTCTGGATTTTTTGTGAATGACATGGGAACATTCTAGAAACAATAGAAAGTGATTATTGAGTTACTATTGAGTGGAACTATCCAGTCGAATTAGTGTGAATTACTGTACGTCAATGATTTGGGTTTTGATTTAGGATTTACCGGACGTTAAACCGAGCCGCGCTACTAACAAGGTATTCACTGTAATGGTTAATTATCTTTGGTTGACTTTTACTTTTTTGTTCTTGTTAAGTATTTATTTGCGGTTGTAATTAAATACTTTTTTATTTAACATTAGTCTTGAGTTATACTTAATTATTAACGGTCACCATACGTCACAAAATATACAAAAATGTTGAATAATTATATGCATATCTTGTAATCTCTCTTTATCTCTCACTTTCTCTCTCTCTCTCTCTCTCTCCCTATGTATGCATACAATTTTAAGATGCGCTGAAGTGTTGATGTTTATGCCTTGTGTATATATTGAAATATGAATTTAAAATCTATATTCATTGACAGAAAAGTTAACCGGAAAACCCTGAGGAACGATGCTGATTTCGAACTATGTATAGTATGTGAATGCTAGCAGATATCCTGATAAAGTGTTTATATATTCGGAAATATTGTAAACTAATACATCTTCTGTCTCTGAGTCTTTACGCGGTGTCAGAGTATAGAAGATGGTTTCTGTGTATTTCTGCGCATATTGGATGAGACGCTTCGGCGAAGCTTCAGTCTTGACAACAGTCGTCAAATGAGCAAGTTTTGAATCGTCTAGAATACAGATATTCACCAAATACGATACATCGTAAGAGTAGCACTGGTAAATCGCACGCCGTTTACAGCAAAGTTCATAAAAATGTGGTGTCAGAACGGTATCAACACAGTATCTATTTTCAGGAAAACATTTTCGTGCTCGTAAATAGCTATATGATTAGGTTTCATTGGTTGCCGAAGTACGATCTATTAAAATCAGTGACGAGAGCAGATTCTGCTTTCATGCAAGTGATTATTGTTTCTGTGTTCTAAATTGACCTGAAGAATGATATTTCCTAGCGTATAATCCCCATGATTACCACAACCTATATCAACAAGAAAAACTAGAATATATGCGTACATTTTAACATACCAAATACAAAAATTGATTAAAAGAACCTCATACACACATTCCACTTATTGGAAAAATAATTAAGATTTTTTAAATAAAGAAACTGTGGTTAATACTTGAAAATGAATAATTTCATCATAAAGAATAAATGTTACAATAAATTTCAGAAAGCCTTTGCTATTTAAGAACAAAAATAATTTGAAAATAGTGGGTTCACATTTATGAATCGATAAGCAGAGTAAACCAGTTTTACACAGCCATATTTATGTATTACCAGAATGTGGCGTCAGATTTGTTATCTGCTTTTATAAGAAGACATATTCTTTATTAGGATATGCTGGGAGCGTAACGGTTATCGGCAGAGATTAGTCTGTCGCGTGAACTAATGCCTTTAGTAAACGCATGAATTCATTTCTTCTCCCATCTTGGCTGTGCCGTAGACTGAGCTCTTTAGCCTTGGCTAACTGAATGTATGGAGAATGACAACTGTAAATGAAAACCCATTCCATTATCTCCCCCCACCAAATAGATTACATGACGTTGTGGTGGGCAATGCTCGTGTATATGCTAAAATTAATATTTATAAGTAAATCATCATCAGTATTGAGCTGGAGAGGGATGGGTTCCACCAGGTTTACTTGCCCAAGGCATGATACGCTTGAATAAATATATCCCAAACTTTCAACTGAGATATGTAGAGGGGGCTGGTTATGTACTCAACTGCTTACGGCCACCCGATCATCGGTCTAATGATGATATTTGCATCTGTTTACTTACAACTATGTAATCTGTTTATAATTAAATATATGCATGTACAAAGGTATGAAGAAAAACCCTCATCCCGATCCACATCCTATATTTTTATGACTAACCATCAGAATAAGGATTTTGCGAATAGTATCAGCACACCATTATTTCTAATAATAGGCATAAATTATAGTTCTAATTGGCTACAGAAAGTAAATTCTCGAATTATGAAATTTTTTTAGTAAATTTTAAGTAAATTGACTTTGTGCTATACATCCATACATCTATTCAGATTTGAATTAGCCACATTGTCTATTACTGCTGGAAAGAATATAGTCATAGGTATGTCTTCGTTCGCATGGAGTCGTGTGCATGGTGATTTTCTAAACGTAGTTTAATTGTGGCACAAGGCAGAAAGTATGGGCACCCAGTGTTGATCGAACTCGCTACTTAGCCGCAATTATTCTAGCGAGACAAGCTTGCTAAATAATACAACATGTCGATAGGCACATGGAGTCGTATGTATGTTTGTTCAGCTAGACATATTTATATCTGGAACGAGCACGTCGACATGATGTAATGGTTAGCAAGTTTCTCTCGCTAAAACAATTTTACGGGTGAATTTAATCCACACTGGGCGTATCATAATTTCAGCCTTGTGCCACATCTAAAATACGCTTAGGAAATCGTTATATTTACCTGGTCTCCGTTTATTTGTTGAAATTCGTGCACTTGTCCTTTCTTGGCAACATAAGAGACTTTACTTTTTGATTGTTGAATTTTCTTGTCTTATTTCGCTTCTCAACATTTACGAGCTTGTGCAGATAAGAGTATGTTCTTTAAAAGAAGTGAGATCTGACAGCGTCTTTTCTTTTATTCTCGACTTTTTTCTATTTCTCTCCCCTATCTTTGTTACTCTTTTATTCTCATTCTCTTTGTAGCAATGCATCTTCTTTTCTCTTAGTTTTCTTTCCTACGCCGTTCTCACAGCAATGCTTGTCTTTTATCATTCAATTCTCTTTCATTCTTTTTCTCTTTTCTTCTATTTTCTCCTCGTCCCTTGACCAATGGTCAGAATACGGCCAGCGGCCAACCACAGAAACTAATCAGGTTGACGTTGACCAGAGAGATCCCAACCAACTTAATCCAACTTGACGGTCAATATTGGCTTTTCACACCCACTCTGTTGATAATAACAGAGGTAGAGGATCGATGAGTCGAAGAAATGAAAGAATGGAGAGTTAAGGTGGCTGGCGTAGAAGGGTCAGTGCTGACCTTACAGCGTTCCAGGCATTTTGCTGGTCATCTCTTCACACACAAGATGGATATGATATCCGTTTGCTGGACCATCCCGTCGAGTCTAACAATGAGAGAGAGAGAGAGAGACAGAGAGAGACAGACAGACAGACAGACAGAGACAGAGACAGAGAGAGCGACAGAGAGAAAAAGAACCGGACGCTTCCACCACTACCGCGCCACAAAAGGTGACAAGCGTCCGTTGTCCAAAATTACACGCATTATGGCCCTGGTCAAATTGGCAGTATAGAAGGTTTATTAATTCTTGCAATGACCAACAGTGGATATGGTCTGGCACAGGCGTGGTATGGTGTACTGAAGTCAAGACAGCAGTGGACTAACCAAACGGGTTCGGGTCGGTAACTGGTGATGCTGTCCACAGCGGGCGTTACACGACTTTGCGAATATAATAATAATTATATAGCTGTATTAAATATGTAACGTGAAAACTATTAGGAAGAAAATAATGCCACTGAGGTCTTTAACGCACTTTTATGTGCATTTCTAGTATAGTACGTGTCTTATCAAGTTGATCAAGAATCAAGTTGAGGGGAAAGAGTTGCAGTGAAATGAAGGTCAGGAAAGAATGGTTATTCTTAACAAAACCTCAACATCCTTCTCTGGTTCGACCTCGTTTCGGTTTCTCCCACTTTCCCTCACTGCCATCTTTTCACTCTTTTCTTCAACTTTCTTCGGGTCTGCAATTGGAGAAAGTGGTGATTGGCTAATCATACCGACTCACTAATGAATCTGATTCTTGAATTTGCGTTTTTCCCATTCATATGTGTGTCTGATGTTGAAGCTTTGCCCTGGATTTTATTTCCGTCATTTCTTTCTTTCTTTGATTTGACCATTTTATTTATTGTGATAGCCTTCCTTCCTTCCTTCCTTCCTTCCTTCCTTCCTTCCTTCTCCTTCCTTCCTTCTCTTCCCTTTCTTTCTTTCTTTCTTTCTTCTATTCGATCATTCTATTTATTGCCATATTTTTCATTCGATTTTGTAATTTTGTTGTTATATTGTTCATTCATTCTTTCCTGCTTTGTTTGATTCACTCATTCTGTTTAATGTCATTTCTTTCATTTATTCTTCTTCTCTCGTTATTACTTGGTATTTTCTTTTTTCTTTAGTCTTGTCCGTTCTTTGTTTTTGCTTCAAACATCTTACTTCTTTCTTTTTTATCCGCGACATTTTCTTTCTTTTTTCTCTCTCTCTTTTTATACCCATTCATTTTCTTTACAATTTCTTTTGTTTCCAACTTTGAACATTCATGTCTGATTTTTCAGCAATATCTCTAATATATAATAGGTTTAGAATGCCCACTTCCTGTGACATCAGTAATGCATTTTCGATCAGCGTCAAGAGTCAATTTTCAAAGCCTATATAAAAATAATTACATCTGAATTCTAATTTCATTTTAAATATATGCAGACTCTTTCCACTTGGAAGAAAGGCGCAAAATATTTAGAGTTTAAACCTACACAACGAACAGTGTTCTTTATCGCAGCATTAAGTATCTCGGGCTGTCATTATTGCTTTATTATTATTATTATTTACTCTTTTGAAAATTTCCCCCAATTTGTTTTTCTTATATATTATTAATTATATTTATATATTATGAATATGATTATATATTAATAAGTGATTTGAGGAAAGAAAGAACTGTTGCTTTAGAAATAGTATCATTTAAAACTTCGATGGTAGTTTTACTTGTTATTTTTATATGAATAAAGTACATTGAACGTCATGAAAATTGTAAGTTTCGCTTGAAAAATATTTATCCTTAGATCATGACATCAGTTTGGGAAAATTTATTGCGGCAGCAATTTCAAGTTTATATTTTCTCTCTTCCTTTCATCACGTTTCACCCTAAATTGTCACGGCTTTCTGTAATGGTCTACACTTCTATTTAAAGCATAGCTGTGGAAGAAGAGATGTATTCATGCTTTTTCCACGCGTATTAGTGCGAAAGTGAACGCAACAGATTAGGTCCGAATTTGATAACATTTCACCTTTCACTACCGATAAGCTACATACACATTTAAAGTTGATATAAACAATTCTCTTCCTTCGATCAAGCTACGGATTTTCTGATAAAAGGTGTTTCCTAAAAATCTGTTACTAAAATGACTTTTTACGACTGTTAGCTATATTTAAATGTAAGCTACTTAAATATATATATTTTATATATATATATATGCATATATATATATATATATATATATATATATATATATATATATATATATATATATATATATATATATATATATATATATATATATATATATATATATATATATATATATGCATGTTTATTGCTTTCATGTTTTCACTTTTTCCACGCGGACGCTGGTGTGCCAATTTAGAACCTACGTATTTATGAGTGCTTCTGCATATATCCTTGTGCACATATAGAACACACGCAAATGGTGCCTGCCTAAGAAAATCATTCAAACATTGCACCTGCCAAGCATCTTTCAGAGAACTCTCCTCTTTTACTGAGTGAAGATAGTTTTCTCGGTGTTCACTTTCTGCAATCAGCCAACTTTTCAAATTTTTCGTTCCAGTCTTCTTCAGTTTGATCAATTAATGATGACAACGGCAATGATGATGATGCTATATACAAACTAAACTAATAGAAATCTATATTATAAAAGAAGGTCTGATTCTGTCACAGATTGCGTGTGTCTTTGCATGTACCTATGTAATTTATATGCATATATGTTTGTATTGTGAGTTACTTACTAGTGTTTGTGCCATTTAATATATAGACAAGCACACACACATGCATCCACTCAACTCAAATATGAAATTAAACACATTCGCCACTCACACAGACTGGAAAACCTCCTCCCTTAATCTGAGTAATAATATCATAAACCTGAAGACAGGGAAAAAATGAAACCCTCATAAAACAGATAATTATAAGAGTTTATTGAAATTTTCAGAAATAATTCGGTAATAAATACTTTGAAAGTTTAAAAATATTTTCAGAATTAAAACATGCATGTGATCAGGTAAAGGGACACACACACAGACAAGGATTAAAATAAATATTGAATGAAATTGAAAAGGACATCTGTTTTTTGAGGGTCATTTCTCCACCCTATTTTCTTTCTGAAAACAGGAAAAAGTGTATAAACCGAAAAGTGCGAAAGTTTGAAGTCATTTTTTTTTATTCCTTCTGCATTTAAACTGAGTTTATTTTTTAATAAATGTAAAATTTAAATTGAACAAACAATATAGATTTGAAATTAAATCATTTTGCCGTCACAGTTAATCGACAGTTACCGAACATGTCTTAAATAATTCTAACTTGTTATTCCTACGACTACAAAAGTTGCTGTCCATTCCCTATTCATTAATAATTATAATTTTTGTAATGTAATGATGGACATTGTACATGAAAATGGAAAAATCAGAGTTTAAGGAATTAATATAAGTATATGTTATCATATTTATAAATAACAGGATTAAAATAAACTTTGTTCAATATTAAACGAGTGTAGAATTCTGTCTTTTTCTAACTTTTATTTATAATCATTAGTAAATTCTTTTTCATCCTTTGACAAGATAGAAGAACAAAACAATGAAACGTTAACACAAGTCAGTGTAGATTGCATTGTTTTATTTAAAAGAAACTTTCTTTTTTTTCTAGATTCTCCATCGAATATTCACCGTACACGCATTTATGTTCTCAGTCTATTAGTTCATGATTTGTTCTTATTAAACAAATAAGCTGGAAATCCAGTTTTAATTATTGTCAATGAAAGGAATAAAAAAAGACCTCAAATTTTAGACTAATCTAATTTTTAAAACAATCTACATGAAATTAGATTAAGTGACTGTGATACTTTTTCATTTACGAACACTAAGCACAAAATCTATAAGTGAGTTAGTTAAATGTACTAAATACCATCAGCTTCAAAGTCAATCAGATAATTTCTAAGTCTATTGTCTTGAATTGTTATTAGATAAATTATAGTTAACAATTATTAATTTCATTTATCATCGCAATTAACATGAAAGATATAACAGTAAAAACCGAATAATAGTTGACAATCCATCATTTAATAAAAGCTCTAAATAAAACTGATATTATTAATACTGAGAGAGAGAGAGAGAGAGGGGGGGGAGAGAGAGAGAGAGAGAACAATAACCTTAAATATAGCACCGCCAAACGATGAGAAGTAAAATAATTAGTTTGATTTGATCTTCAGTCATCCATTGTCTCTAATAACTGAAAAAGTAAATCAGCTGTTGTTCACAGATGAACTTGTTAAAATAAAAGACGTGTGACTTTGTGCTTATTGGCCTAAATCTTGTTCCGTTTCCCTCTTTTTTATTGAAGGACTGTAGAATAGCTATGGAATGCAACTAAAATTAAGATAAAATAAATGCGAGACAAAATAATGGTAGAAATTAGTTCCTGAAAACAAAGTAATGATTTATAAGATACCAATATTAAGAATAATGATAACATGATAAAAAGTGAGTTTAGCCTTTTAAAGTAAAAGCATTAAACATTATCTCAAAGCTTCAAAGACCGATAAAACAATACAATATGGGTGGGGGAGAGATACAAAGTGTGTACGTGAGTGAGTGTGTATGTGTGTGTGTTGTGTCTTTAATTAATGCTGTAATTAGTCCTAAAAGGAATTTTATAAATGTGCTCGAATAAGTGTGGGACTACGGTTCAGCCAATTGCAATACAACTAATATCAAATAAAAGAGATATACTAGTAGATATGGAAAACAGATATCAACAGATTTCAACATACGGAAATAGCATCTACTGCAAGGGATTTGAACAAAAGTGCCACAAAAAAGCATTACGTAGAACTGTGGACGAGATTAAAAAGAAAAAAGAAAATGACATATTATGCAAGAGTTTCGAAAACAATGGAAGATGGAGATATTTACTTGTTTATTAATCTTATTCAGTGAAATTTGCGGAAACACTGACAACCCAAATTTTTTTTAAATAATTTTAAATAAGTAGAAAAATAACTTGTAATGTGAAAATATTGGGAATAACATTCAAACGGTAAAATAATATTTCTCCGAGCAAAAAAAAAAGAAGAAAAAAAAAACTAGAGAAACTGAAGCATAATAAAAAAGATGATAAATAGGAGAACGTTGCTTGAGAGCAGAGAAAATTATGAAATATAAAAGTGAAAATTGTGCTTCTGAAAGGGGCTGGAAATTTTATCCTCATTGACAATGCGAAATGTTTGACGAGACTTGCTGTCACTATGTCCCCAGCAACATTACCCCTTGTATGAACATGCAAACAGCCTCCAACCCCTTTCATCATGTAAACATTAGATTGGGGCCAGCATCGAAACTTTTGCCAGATGGCTCTTCTGGCCAAAATCTCAACATACCTGACCTTTTGTCTTTTTTCTTTCACTTTCAGGAGAATGGGTTCAAAAGAGACTTAATGCTCGTATATTCTTTTGAGAATATGAGTGGGTGTTAGGAGCACATACCAAATAAGTGAACTGGCCGGTTGACCACACTGACCCAGCCGTAGGCCCCGGTCGGGAACCTTGCCACCTTTACCCATTCTGTTAACTTCCACGGTACACAGATAAATCCCTCGAGGGTCGAACTGAGTTCGGGTTTGGAGATTGCCAAACGAAGTTAGGGACAACAAACGCAATACTTCGTATTTCATGCTATTTCCGTACGATCACCAGATGGTAAGAATTTTCTTTCTTTCCTTCATTGGTTTTTCTAAGTCACATTTTTTCTAATTCTTTTAGTCACAGTTGCTCCACTTAGTCATTTTGCCCTCTTCACCATCTTAACTTTTGCATTTTCTTCAGTTTTTCTTCTCCTTTTTTCCAGACGACAACCTTTCTTCATATTTCCGTTTCTTTTACAATTTCTTTTTCATCGTTATTTATTTTTCTTCGTTTTCTCTACATCTCTTTCAATTTTCATTAATTTTCTTATTTCTTCGTTTTTCTTTCTCATTTTCTTTTGTTTTACTTTCAATTTTTTTCGTTATATCTTTTTTTTTCCTTGTATCTTTTTTCATCGCTTTTCTTCATTCACTGAAAACTATCTTCTTTGATATGCAAACATTTATTTGTATGACAAACTTCACAGGCGTAGAGTGGCCACAATGCTCATATGAACTTCTCGAAAGGATTTAAATGTAATATTAATACTGGTTAAAGACTAAATTCCTTAGCATATAATGTAAACACTCAGAAAACCCTCTCCCCCCCCCAAAAAAAAACGTAAATGGATAGCCTTCCAAATGACACCATTTTAATCCATTACTTCTATCCGATAATCGAACAATGACGACTGATGTTATTGAAAATGTACAATTTCCTCACTCACCAAACAATCTCAAGATATTATTTACTATAGTTAGTCGCAACAAAGCGAGGACTTAACTCACTTTTAGTATCGTTGGTCGACCATATATTTACATATGCTCATCCCATAAGTAATGTCCAAATTTAGGCTCAGTAAAATATCGAATATTAATGTTTTATTAGAAATTATAATATGTTTTTATCATTTCTAACGATGCACAAGCTTCGTAATACCATTTTTGTGAAATAGTTTTTGATGAGAAGAAAAGAATGAAAAGACGACAGTTTTCGGTTAATCAAGATGGATTTAAAATATGTATGAATCTGATAAGATGAAATCTGGACACTCAGTGGTAGGTGGATTAACCTGAAAGATTAACATAAACTAGAGTTGAAATGCGCTAAATTCAGACAATAGATGTTTGCCGTAATTGTAAACAAAATGTCCAAACAATCTTTTGATGGAAATACATTTTAGGGCCTATGCGCCTCCCCATACAACAGTGGGCTATGGTAAGTTTTTAGCCACCCTTGATTACAGCAATTCTCGCTTGTGTAATAACGTATCTTCTTTTTTTCCAGAATCATCTTAGTATCAAGCTACTCTAATCTATGAACGATAGTTGACTTATATTTTGCAATGCAAGTTCGCGAATGTAAGGAAATTGGTGAATTTCAACAAGAGCAAATAATAGGGCGGCATCAGGGTGGCAAGTCAAAGAGAGAAATTGCTAGGTTTATCCAGGTTAATAAGAAATTTAATGAAGAAGGTCATTGTCATGGGGAACAACGTTCAGGAAGACAAAGCATCATTTCTGAGCGAACGAAAAGGGCGCTGAAGGGGAAGTCATCAGAAACTGCCGTTAGAGCGTCAAATTTGTTGCCATCAGTATGAAAATGTCGCCATATGCGGTGAGAAAGACTCCGAAAGAGCTATCAAAGAAGAGTTGCACGAAAGAAGCCCCTGATTTCAGAGGTTAACAGGAACAAGCGTATGGACTGGGCGAGAGAATTCGAGAAGAACGATTATGAATTTTGGCAGTCTGTAATTTGATCAGATGAAAGTAAATTCTGCCAATATTCATACACTGAATGTTTGCAGGCGACCGTAAAACATGGAGGGATCGGAGTAATGGTGTGGCGCTATCTGGTTTGGAGGGCAATCTGGACTACTCCCACTATTTGAAACTAATCAGATTGACAAGATTGTCTACCTTTTTCAAGAATATGGAGCGCCATGTCATACGAGCAAAGTAGCAAAGGCCTGGAAGGAATCGCAAGGAATCAAGTCACTGTCATGGGAAGCCCAAAGTCTTGAGATGAATCCAATAGAGCAAGTTTGGAAGCAACTTGACCGAAAACTTCGAGAGTGTGCAACCAAAATTACGTCAGTGGCAACCCTTAAAGAAACATTGCTAAAGGAGTGGCAAAATATCGAACAGATGATTGCTGATAACTTGATCAAATCTAGGAAAAATCGAATACAAACACTGAACTTAGAAAATAGAGATCCTACTCCATACTAGTTCCAAATACTGTTTGTTTATGTTGAGTTGGGATTGCGTAATTAAATTTTGAAATTGGATGTAGTTTATTTCTTTTGGCTAAAAACTATTCTTAGATCACTGTATTTCATATATATATACATACATATATATATATATATATATATATATATATATATATATGTGTGTGTGTGTGTGTGTGTGTGTGTGTGTAATTGGTCACACATATTCGAGGATACCCGCTTATTAGGGCGGCTAGTCAATCCCTATAGCAGACGCTCGCTCAGGCACATTTGTGTTTGCTCAACACTCACAGAACCCATCTGTGGTTTATACTGTAATTACGCTGAACAGACCTTAGTTACAGTTTCTGGGAGAGAGCGTGTGATCTAGCGTGATCAACAATTTGAACAAGGCCAGCACGCTCAAGCCCTCGGCCACAATGATTTGTGGCATTTTTGCAAGCACAGCTATTGACGGGCCTCAAGTGTTCCGTCTATCCAATTTCACTTATAAAAACTTGTAAGACATTAATAGCTCGATGAAGACACCATTGCCACTTGCTATTGAAGCACCACACGAATGAAAGTTTAAGTTTTATATAATATATACATGAAGTAGCAGAAATACTTCTCAATTTTTTTTTCAGATCTCATCAGTTACTATCATGGTTTGAACCGGTGCACACAGTACGTCTGTTGTTGAAATCCTTTTTTTTTTCACTGGTGAATCTGTAAATGCACCACAGAGAAGCTTTTCGTGATTATTTCTTGTTACTTCAGAATGATGCTCTTTCGGATAAACAGTCGATATTTGCTATGGGTTGAACATTTCAAAGCCACAGGTTCAGGGCTTAAAAGAAATCAGAAAGATAGAAGACGCTTCCAGAAAATGTCAAGTCTCTAGAAATTGTCTACAGCAATTTATGGTAAATAGCAGCTACCATTTAGAGGATGTCATTTCAAAAACCAAATGAATAAAAACTGTAGCCCTTCGATTAAAAAACAGTGAAATGATGTTTTAATAGCAGTTAACTTGTTTTTTTTTGTCAACCTTTAAAATGTGGGAGGTATTTCTGGCGCACTCTGTCGCTTTCAATGTCTGAGGATTTATTAGCTCAGAACTTAGAACCGAACAGCCAGGTTATCTGCATTTGATTATAGTGGTGAATTATTGTGCTGAATGAACCACAATTTTCGGAATAACTAAATACTAGATAACTGGTGTACATAGTGTTACAATATCTCCAAATAACCTTCCTAAGGTTTTTGATTTTAGAGTTTTAAGGTTTCCTTTCTTCGAGACTGGTTGCTAACCAAGGCTAGAGGGTCCATTTTGTTCTGCGTTTCATCCATAGATGGGAGAGAAGCAATTGCTTATAACTTTTCCCAAGGATATTTGCGCATAAGTTAATGTCACGAACTCGACTGGAATTCGAAATCGGTTCTTCAATTTCTCATTCTGAGCCTATGTATATATATATATATATATATATATATATATATATATATAGATAGATAGATAGATAGATAGATAGATGTGTGTGTTTGTTTGTGTGTATGTGTGTGTGCATGTGTGTATATATATATATATATATATATATATATATATATATATATATATATATATATATATATATATGTATATATATATATATATATGCACAATAATATACTTGTGAAAATACTCTAGAATATATAATTACACATAAACAACTTCTCTTGATAATGGACACAACAGGCAATTTACTTTGATTTTTACGTTTTTACTTAGTAGTAGGACGTCGTTTTAGCCGACATCCGCTTCCGGAAAGTGTCTAATTTTTTTTTCCTTTTAAGCAGTTATCGTTCTCGTTCTCGTGTTTTTATCATTGTCTTCATAAAAAAACCTCTCTCTTTGTGGGCAAATAGGGAAATCCTCCAGGACGAAAACTAGGTAAAAATAAAACCAAACCCAAAAGCATCAGGCCTCTCAACATCACGTGTGCGATTTGCTGAAATGGTTCGCGCAAAAAATAAATAAATATAAGAAATTAAAATAGAAGTAATTTTCTTTCAACAAAAAACAAGAAAGGTAACAGAAAAGCCTTTAATAAGTGAATAAAAAAGTTGTGTTCATTAAAATACCTACAAATATCTAAATGTATCATTACCTACCTAGATATCTGTAGCAATGTCTTTAAAATTCGGTTTGCGTTATTCTGTGTTTTTTGCTTTTGGCACTGTCTATCACCCTTTCTTTACATCCATCTCTTTTTTCATCTTTCGTTCTCTCCCAGGTATACTCGCACACGCGGGCGCACACACACACACTCACGCACACACACACACACGCACGCACACACACACACATATATAGCAATGCTCATTTCTGTGTCTGACACCATAAGAATTTTTTTCAAATTTCTTAAACAGTTCACAAAAACACCTATGTATAAAATCAGATGGAAACAAGCATACAAAATATTAAAATCTGGATGTATGTAACATTATATTTCCACTTGCACTGGAAGACAATATTTGTGCCTTTCTAGTTCATTTACTGGCCTTCTTAATAACTCAAGAATTGTGTACTTCCCACTGACACCAATAACAAACCAGGTTGTTCAACGCCATAAACACAGGCAAATTTTCTACTTAAAAGAATGGTGCAACACAATCTTTCTATTCTTATTTTAGGATTAAGTTTAAACATCTACACACTATGAACATGTAAACTAAAGCGTTTACCTTCAACTCTATCAACATTTTATGAATTATCTAAAAGATTTGTTTTTCCATATTATTCTTTTCAGAAAGTTAAATTTTAACTCTAAAAGATATTTTGGTTTTGGAATGACGTAAAATTATTGATATCTTCTTACAGTTTAGAGCAAATCTAACGTGGACAGCTTGCTCCCGGCAACAGTAATCTAGCGAAGTTATCATCAACAAGCAGTCTTAAAAGTTACGTTAATTCTGACTTAAAATGGTTCTTATATCTGTTATGAAGCGGCAAAAGAATTTCCAGCTTTCTAGCAAAGATCTTTAGAAAAATACCAAAATATAAAGTGATTTTTTATTATTATTTCACCCCCAAGAAAGGTGACAATGCCACTATGACTTAAGGAGTGAAATACAATGAGAAGACTAGCGAGGAGAAAGGACAATAAAAGAACAGGAAAGACAGGAGATGCCGATTGACATTGCACTTAAAATGTTGAAGATTCTAGGTAGAAGGGATACAAAAAACCGGAAGTGTGA